CTATCAATTGATATCATCACAGGTAACACACTCATTTTGGGTCGATCTGGAGGTTCTATTTCATATTATTTTGCATCTCGAAAATAACAAGAGAACTGTAATATTAGATAGCGAACCATCACAACTGAAATTAATTGTTATAAACCATATTCATACGCCAGGCGGTAAATTTGTCCGTGGGCGGTGAAGTGCAACTTTACGCCCGTAAAACCAGGCGGTGAAGTGGTACTTTACGCCCAACAACAATAAGAAATACACACCAATTAATCGATAGAGAAAAAGCAACACTATAGGAGAAATAAGTATTAAAATATACAATCGCAATAATTATTGAAGATTTAGAGAGAGATGAACCAAAATAAAAAATCAGCATTGGACCATCTGGAACAGACGTCAAAACTGTCAGGTACCTACCAAGACAAATCATCACAACTATTATTCTCTTTAATCAATATTTGTGGCTTACTAGTAGAGTATTGCTTTGTGAATGAAATGAAAGAAGGCAAATCCAACCTGAAGCAGAGCAAATAATATACAAACTAGCTTTTCTTTGAATCGACAATGGTGCACTGCTTTTGTTAAGTTCGGAATGAATTAATTTTCTGTCAAACTATGTCCATTCATGTGGAAGTTCCTGGAGTAGGTCGATTTTCAATCCCAATTTGGCACATTCACACGAGAAAATAAGATAAACAGGGTGATCCACTCTTGAGTAATGATGTCTGCGACAATTCTCTCATTCCATGTATACATCTACAAATGCATACTTTATATGCCAAAAGTAAATAAATTACAAACATTTTCATTTCAAGTCAGACTATCACGACCCTACCTACCCTACTCGATCTTTAAATCTCATGAGACCTCCCAAACATGGAACAAGTTTATATGAAAAAATCCCAATGTATGAGGGACACTGATTTTTTTCAATAATTTTCCGGTTTGTATATGAATTGAAAAACAACTCTCTCTACGACTATAATTGTAAATAAGGAATATTGTACACAAAAGAATGGGAGTAAGCTTCTCCTTACGCACGTGTGCTAGCGATCGCACGATTTTTATAGGTATGTTGATATATGACTTCGTTTTGTTGCACAAATAAAAAGGATTTCTTCATTCAATGTGGAACAGCATTGATTCAACCATAATATGGCGCTCTTGAATAGCTCCAACCAAATATTTGTTTGATTTTTCTACAGAACTGTCTCGACTTATCCAAAAAATAAAATCTTGATTCGAATTAATATCTATTTATTATCACAATACGTATTGGTCGAAGAAAGAATTGATTAGTATGAAACAATATTTTCGTATCATGAGTGATTCTCTTATCAGTGTTAAAAATTTTTGTTCTTGAATCAAGAAATCTCGAGCTTGTTACAGAGAGATAATGTCTCATTATAATGAGTGGAAATTTTTTCAGAAGATCTTAGTTTTCTTATGCCAAAAGAATATCATTTTGAAGAAAAGCAAAATACAGCTCACTATTAGAGTATTGATGGTCTTATATACCATGAAAGAAATGAAATGGACTCTTACAGTTGGTGAACAAGAAGCTTTGTTATCAAAACGTGGTCATTCTATTATTACATGACAAAAATATACAGGGTGGGTCACGGTCGATGGCACCTTAGACGTTTACGGAGAACGGGACATAAGATCATTCTGAAAATTTGGTTACTCAAGTGATTGCTCTTGATCTATCGATCTAAAATATTTTCAGCTCTGCGGCGTTGCCGCTTCTATCGAAAAGTAGCAACAACTTTGTTATTTTAAATGGAACACCCTGTATTTTATCGCCTTTCCAGATTCTCTCTGAAGAGCTGATTTCATCGATGTATCACACTTGGGGTCTAGCGAAAATGATTACAGAGATATAGGGTGTGAAAAATCGACATTTTTCAACTTTAGGAATTTTTTTTGTCCAAACTATTCATTATTGGTCAAAACGGCTCACATGTCCCTATCCCAACTTTTGATCAACTATCTACTGACATTAAATTGAAACAAATACAGGGTGGTGCAGAATTCAGATTCTTGATCACCCGGTATATGTCCCAATTAAATATCAGTAGATAGTTGATCAAAAGTTGAGATGGGGACATGTAAGCCGTTTTGACCAATAATGAATAGTTTCGACAAAAAAAATTCCTTAAGTTGAAAAATGTCGATTTTTCACATCCTATATCTCTGTAATCATTTCCGCTAGACCCCAAGTGTGATATATCGATGAAATCAGCTCTTCAGAGAGAATCTGAAGATGCAATAAAATACAGGGTGTTCTATTTAAAATAACAAAGTTGTTGCTACTTTTCGATAGAAGCGGCAACGCCGCAGAGCTGAAAATATTTTAGGTCGATAGATCAAGAGCAATTACTTGAGTAACCAAATTTTCAGAATGATCTTATGTCCCGTTCTCCGTAAACGTCTAAGGTGCCATCTACCGTGACCCACCCTGTATAATAATATGAATGAAAACAGATACATAATAGTCAAATAATGAAATACTGATGTCTGAAGCTCAATCTAGGAGATATAATAACAAGTTTTCTAGATTTTTATGATTTGATGTCCTTTTTTCTTTTCAGGATGTCACTGTGCTTGAATGTTATTGAACCCCAAAAACCTAGACAGAAGAGTAAAATCATCCTTTCAAAAATGTCTCGCGTGTTTTGCAGAGTGGCTGACGTGGCTCGTTAAATGGAAATCATTAACCGTATACACATATAGAACTTGCTTCAGAAAGAACATTGATTTCATTCTACACAGCTAGGTATTGTCAGAAACAAAGGAAATTCCAAGACAATCAGATATTTCCTTTCCACAAGAAACTGAGAGTTTCTAGAAAGCATGTATAAAAAGTGTTCGGTATATGTGAGAACTCGAAGGAATGAGACGAATTATTATTGGTTCAATTATCATAATCAAAAAACAAGTAGAGAATATACAAAGAATAGACAATTACCTACCTAAAATGTGAAATGTCGCATTGCTGTGAAGATGATACCACAACATTATTATATCCATGACTCAGCACAGTTGATCCACACTCCACCATTGACTACCAAATTTGTTATTCACCGTCTCCAGAAGAAACAACAGCGCCAATGGCAAATGGCGGCTGACCACTGACTAGTCGAATGGACGCAGGCGTTAAGTTGTCTCTCACCGCTGTATATACGTCACTGCAAGCCTTTCAGACAAGCAGAGAAATTCTCAAACCAATATAAATTGGAATTCATGTCACTGGTAGCCACGATCTCCTTAAATGAAGAAATGAACTATTTATGTTGAGCAAATTCATATAAAAATTTTCAAAAAACAAAGCAAGCAATCGAATTGATTTGGGACAATTTTATTTTGCTTCATTCAAATGAAAATCTCTTGTACGGAGCAATTTAATCTCAAGATAATGGATTGGTTTGATTGAAGATATCTTTCTTATCTGTGTGCTTAGGCGATGTGTCAATCTCAGTCAATCGCAGTAGAGCTAGGTAGGTACTCATTTTTCAATTCCAAGTTATCAATCAAAATCGAGAAGAGAAAATGGATATTTTTTGAAAATAATTATTTTCTATTGATATTTCTAAATTTCCGTTGAAAAATCCCAAGCAATGACGATGAGATTATTTCTACACCACTAGAAATTGTGAAAAGAGCGAAAATAGCATCAAAGGAGTGAATACTCGTGGAGTCTCGTGAAAGATACGGAATAGCTAACAAAATATTCTCAGGAATAATCTCATGCCAGTTTCGGACATTCTGTTACTTTCAACAGCTGCACATCAGTGACTTCAAATAACCATTATAATAATTCCATATGATCATCGAATGTGTTTCTCATTGGAGTTTTTATGATATGGAGAACTGCTTTATTTGGTTCAAATTGAAGAAAATAGTTCGTTATGCAATCAATCAATAAAGAAATACACGTATCGTTGTGATTTGCACCTTTTCATGCAGTTAGCCTGAAGTGACGGAAGACGTATTCGATATTAACACATTATCTGTACTATCAATCCTGAAGGAATAAGCCATAAAAAAGTATAGTAGGTACATTTCTCGCGTTGTAAAGCAACTCCCTTTAGGAGTTACACAGTCGCCGTTACGCGGCATCGTAATCGTATGTGTATCTCTCTCCACTTCGTAAATTGTATGTAATTTAACATAGATGTAACAAACACAAACTCAGCTAGTTTTTTTTGCGACGAATTCGTTCATGTTAGCTATGAATTTCCGAACAAAAAATAGAAAATTATATATATTTTCTCCTAATAACGGTATTGTGATCTATTCATCTATTTATATTCTGACAAGAACTTTCTTCCACTGACATAATATCATATATCATGTTTCTTTGTGATCCTGAAGAATGAATTGATAATCAATATGATTATTCCATTTTCAAGTACTCCTGGGACCCTGCGTTCATTGAAATGGACGTTTGTAATTTGTTTAGCTGAATGGAAAAGCATGAATATATATCGATGTCAAAACCCGAAGTTGTTGTCTCATAAAATCCAAATTCGCAATTTAATGGGTTTTCCACCCGATATTCTATCATTGTAGTAATGGCGTCTACTGAGAAAACAACTTCTGACAGAAAGAGCTTGCTTTCCTCAATTCTTTCTGTTTTTATTATGGTTTTGTGATTAAGTCTCATTCGAACGAACGTGATTACGACATAATTCAAAGAATTGGTTTGATAGTTACGAGTAGTGTCTAGCAGTGTTCAATATCATTTTGTAATGATATTTTTTGAAACATATATGCATGAAAATCAATCATCAGAATGTAATTATAGTTCACCCTTTTCTTCACCTTTTCTCCCTTGTATCTGTGAATTGGCCGTCTCATCAACTCAGTTCACATTCACTATAAATATGAACACTACTCGGAGAACCACATTCTGATCTCCAGGAAATATGTTTCGTCTGGGGAACCTGGGCTCTCACCCTATTCGTTCTTATAGTGACATATCATTTTTCTGTTCGCAGATTGGCAACGAAGTTACTTATGCTGAACTGGCTCTCGTTCGACCAAATTCTCTGGAGCCTCTTAAAAACGGCGGCAATGCATTTGGCACTCTTCGTAGCAGGGAGGATCCTACTATTTATGCCCAGATCGACCATAACAAAAGGCTGCCACCAAGAACGTCGCCCCTGGTAATATACTTTTACATTTATATGTTTCATAAAACATCGAAATCGTTTTGAACTTAAACCCATTTTATAGAGATAATACTCGAACTCTATAGTGTGATTTATTTGAGGATGAGAGGTATCAATGGACCAATGCTTTATTTATTATATAAGAATGATCTGACCTCTATCGATATAAAAGGAAGATTCACTTAATTCGCTGATGATACTACAATCCTATGGCGGGCAAATAATGCGACTGATCTTCATGATTATATTTGTTCAGACATTGAAAAAAGAGTGGTGTGATTGTGATCTTTTATCATTCAACATAACAAAGACCAATGTAGTTTCTTTCCGTTGTAGGATCGATGATAAACCTTTAGGTACGAACGACAGTGTGATAACCAACGAAATATGTACAAAATTTCTTGGGGTATCTATAGACAACAAACTGAAATTCGAAGACCACATTGCAATGCTCATTAAAAAACTGTCATCAGGATGTTATGCTGTTAGGATAATCTCTAGTGAACTAGGACCTTCTGCAGCCAAAACTGTATATTACTCTTTGATAGAATCTCACTTGAGATATGGAAAACCTTTCTGGGGAGTTTGTGCTGATACTCATTTAGAATCAGTTTTTATTTTACAGAAGAGAGCAATAAGATACCTGAATAAGGTCAAACCAAGAGTTTCTTGCAATCCTTGCCATTTTTATATGAGAAACGGTTTGCCTTATCAATAAACATAAAATGAAATTCTCTAGTCCGAATTCTCATTATGCTACCCGCCAAACAAATCACCTCAGACTGCCTATACCCACCTCATCCCTCAGTATATACTCAGTGATATACAATGGTCTCAAAATATATAATCACTTACCAAATTATTAGAAAACCACGGATATCACTCATTTCAGAATGGCCGTAAAAAAATTCCTCAGTGAAAGACCGCCGTATTATTGCCTGCATGTGTAGAGATCTGTGAGATTGATGTTTCATATATATATTTTTTTTTTTTCAATTTACTTTTATACTCCTTATACCTCATTAATATGTGATAATTATAATTATTTTTGTGTGTGTGAATGTTCGACACTATGTTTTTTTTTTTCATAGATATATATATTTATAGTATTAGGAAATTATAACTTTGTCAATAAGATATACTCTTTGGACAATACAGCATATCAATCAATCATTTAGTGGAATTTTCCTTCTCAAATCAAAGGACCCCGCACTTTTAGTACGTAAAATGGTTCTCGGTGAAATTTTCTGAATTTTCAGTATGTTGTAGAATTCGATGAACTGATTGAACCTGCAGAATCGTAAAGTTCTTTGATGAACAGATTCTGAGATACAGGGCGTTGAAGTTACAAATCGGTATTTTTCATTTAATTATTTTCTCGAAATTCAAAGATGCCAAGTACAATTTTCTTCGCTCATATCATTAACGAACCTCCATATTACTCAACATAATTCAGATGGTTCAGATGATGTAATTGTTTACAGAGTGAAACATATAAACATTTCAGTGATGTCTGAAAATTCGATGTAATAATGAAATATCGAAAAAATAATTTAGGCATGCAATATACTATTCTCATTCCATCATGAATCACAATTCATACATTTCATACAGGGTGATTTGAAAAATTGGTGACACCTAAGACCGATTTATTCATACACATCCTGTATATTCGAGTGAATTGTTAACCTCCCAAGATAGCTGATACCGTATGAACATGATTTCGTTGAGATATATAGGGTGATCATGAAGATTTTCAATGATGAAAATGACAAAAAATCGTGTTTTTTTAAATCACCCTGTTATTCATGATTAACTCGGTGAAATTCCCTTATTATTTTTTAATATATTCATCATTCGCTCCTCAACGCTGTCTTGAAAATTCAGTTTTCTATCACGACGGGTGTCATAGTTATTAATTCAGGAACTTTCCATTTGCATGAAGAGTTGAAGAGACTTGTTCACTTACATTCGCATAGTGGCCGATATTTTTCACAAATAGTGAAACGTGAGAATGTGGAGACGAAAATAAGTTTAGTATTCATATACAGGGTGAACATTAGAGATTCAATAACAGTAGCAGATATATGAATTTAATAATATTAAGAGTGGGCAATAGGACTGGAAAAATGATGAATACAGCGCTCTCGCTCCTGACGCTTTATGGGAAAACAGTTTGGCATATAGTACATTTTTAAACGCCATCATATAGACAAAGGTTCAGATTAGGGCGGATACTATCTCATTTTTCAAAATTCGAAAAAAAAAAGTTTCAAAAATGTATTTGAATATAGCATTATTAGCTGACGAAAAAAAAAAATTTATACTGCTTGTTCAAGATTTTCAGATAGTATCCGCCCTAGAATGAACCTTCAATATGCTGCAGAAAAAAAATCAAATCATAATGTGGCTTGGTTTCTTCACAAAGCGTCAGGAGCCAATCCTCTGCAACCTCAAAAATAGGCATAAGTTCACGATGATATTTGCGCCCTCTGGTAAAAGTTATATCAGAAGAACATGGCAGTCGATATAGCCTTAGTTCGGGTGATTTGATGAAATATAGAAATAATGAAATTTAAAAATAACCTATATAAATTCATGAAATTTCAAAAATAAACTAGTAGGTATTGATTACTTTGAGACAAAAATAATTTATTCTTCATACATTTTGAGAAGTATCATTTTATAGTTCGTTCGTCAATTAAGTGAAATCTATTGAATAATCTGATGCGTAATTCCACGCGAGTTCATTTCCTCAAGTGCCCATAATTTCGCTAAACGCAAAAAATCGTCTACAATGATAGAATACGTATAGGTGGTTCCCCGAACGGGTTGTTTTTTACACGGCGTAACATCCTGAGATGCAGGGTGATGCAGGATGCAGGTATACGTTTATGGTCAATGGAATAGAGAGCTTGAGCTTCTGAAATTTGTAGGTTTTACAATTTTGTATTTAGTGCGAGTGTAATATAATAGTGGTAGGTCATTAATGATGGATGACATTTTAAAAATGTTCAACATCCTTTGAATGTTTACGAATCCAGGTAAAATGAATCAATGTTGAATATTTTCGTCGTGTCAGTAGATTGATCCGCTTTATGCAGAAACGTTAAACTTTGTATTTGGTGTGGAAATGTTTTTGTGTTTGTGACTATATGTATTGAAAATGCCGCCTATAAAACCCAGGGCAGGTGATTATCGTAAGGGAGAAAAAACAAAATCACATGTGTCGACAAAAAGACGTAGCCGGACGTAGGATATCAAGGGGGAAGAAAAATATCAGTATCGGTCGAATGTTATGTTCATTCTCTTCACCCAGACACCCCTATTTTGGAATTCCAAATGGCACCCCCTACTTCGAGATATATAAAATTCAAAGTCTAGCAATAATAACCAACCAGATGGAAAACTATCTTAGTATTCGATCCATAAATATCGGGACATAATCATTAAATTAAGTTATATTAGGTCAGTTATTACAGCCAAACATTTTGTCAATTTTCATTGAAGGTATCCTCAGATCAATTTTTGTGGAGTCACATGTGGAAACAATGGTTAATAAAACTCAGCCAGAGAATATGGATGTACTCAAACTGATATATTTCTCGAAAAGTAGACAAATAAATGGGAAAACGTTTCAAAAAATGTTTCAAGAATTCTAGAATAGGCTGTACTATTGAGCATCAAATATTGAAGCATATTTTCGAATAATTGCTTCAAATACCTCTGTCAAAGATCACTCGCTCTCTCTAACTTTTGTTGATCACCAACATGAATCATTGAAATAAATTATTATTCATCTGGTCGGATTGGTTTTTGTTTCCGCCTCAATTTGATGTATCTCAAGTTGCCATTTGGAATTTTATAAAGTAGAGGTGGCGGGGGTTTGAAGGGATGATCATAGCATTCAATAGATACTAGTATTTTATTTCCTCCTCAATATCTGAATCAACCTATTTTTTTCCATAATTGTTATCATCGCACATCATAAGGCTAAGTGGTAAGTTTTGAAATCAAAGCTCTGTACTATGAATCGAGGAAATCGCCTATTTTGTAATATTCTCAGCTGAAACTGAATTTCAAAATTTTCTCTTTCAATGAGGAATTGGTGAAATAATCAACAATATTTCAATTTGTGCTAACTTAATCCACATCATAACATTTTTAACAATCGCCGCATATCATCGAGTTCAACCCGTTTCTATAAAGAGCACCGTACCATGTTCTTGACCTCACACAATATACCTCTCAATTCACAAGTTCTTGCGCTACTGCTGCTGCTGTTTTATATTCCACTTCAGCTGTGCTCAAAGCAACATAGTATCTAATGCTTTTCAAAGAACCAAGATACTGATTTTTTTTGACGGCTATAACACAAAATTGCTTTCGTTTTACTATGTTTGATATCACAATGACTTCATTTTGTTATTATTTCACAAATTCTCATCTCTCATAAAATATAGAATTTCAAGCAATGACATCAACTCTGTCTAATAGATCAGCATCACTAAAGAGTGAGCAATGAGCCGCACAAAATAACAAATTCAGCGCTCTCGCTCTAGACTTCCCATTTCGAAACCATTCAATATTTTCAGAATTTTTTCGATTCATGCTCTAGCCAAAGGACCAAGCTAGGTTGAATACTATCTCATTTTTCGAAATTTTTAAAGAAAGAGTGGAAAAAACGTTCTCGAAAAGTGCTCAAAATTAGTCAATTTGGCAAATAAAAAAAAAAAACGTGTACATGAAATAACCAATTTCCAAATAGTATCCAACCTAGATCTATCTGTCAACAAACCACACAAAAAAAGCAGCTCGAAATAACGATTGATGTCTATACACGACGTCAAGAGCCGTTGCTCTACATTCTCACAAATACGCACGATTTGGTCGATGATATTTGCGCCTACGTAAATCACCCTCTATAATATAACAGAAAAGTTAACTTTAACTGACGATACAGTTGAAATTCAAGAAAATAATGATTAAAGCCT